ACGTTGTTTGTCCGCAATGGACTCCTAAACTATTGAACCGATTTTCATCAAATTTTACACACTGTGTGCAATTTCATCCAACTTGAAAGATAGGATAAGTTTATATCTCAATTTATAATCCCAATTGACTTAAAGACGTGTGTATCGGACTGATTGTGAGCCACAGTAACATGTAACGGTGCATCCCTAGTATCATATCAATAGAAACGCGCATGTAATGTATTTCTATCAACTAACCATAAAGCAAGTTTCAATATCATCAAAATTCTAATCTATCGGATTATTCCCGTATCATGCATCGAACTCAAATATTCCATAGATAGTATATGAGTATGAGTATGTGTGTATGTATGTGTGTGTACACATTTCTAATACGTACAATCGGTATCGATGAACAATGAAATTATTGCTTGTATCCTTTCAAATGAAATCAAATGAATTTTACAATCCGCATAGAACGTTCGTCAGAATTTTGTCGTAAAATCTCCTCCTGCCCCCAAGCCCCTCCCCTCCCCTTCCCTCCCCCGTCCCCCTGTAAATTCTCCATCGATTCGATTGATTTTCTTCCTATTTGGTTGTCGATTTCAAACCCCCTTTTTAACCCCGTTCCCCTTCTTCCTGCGATGTTATTCAAATTGAATTAATAATCGATGATAAGGGTTTTGACGTAATCGTGAAAGGTGGTTCATACAAATCAATCAATTGAGATGTTACAATAGAATAAATACGAGAGTGGTGAGGAGTAGGAGAAGGAGGAAGAGGAGGAGGAGGAGAGAGGATGAAAGAAGACGAGAAGAGAGTCCTTGAAACTGGGGGAAAAAGTGCAATAAATAAAGTAACGTAAAAATCGTGCAAGTTTGCTGCATACATATATGTATGCATGTGTTTTATATCTAGGTATTTGTGTATATATAGTTGGAAGGTTACAATATATATATATAGATATAGATATACGCGTGTATGACGCTTAGAACAATGAAGGCCGTCGGAAACGCGCAAAAGGAAGAAGATACGCGATGCGCTTGACATTCCATCGAAGAAGAGTTTTCAACGCTATAATGGAAATTCTACGATGGGAGGAACCTAGGTAGCTAACGTTCCAAACACCGATGTTTAGTCGACCGAGATAGGTACTACTACTACTCGTCCACGTTCCGATTTTTCTTTCTTTCTTCTTTTTTTNTTCTTTCTTTCTTCTTTTTTTATTTTTTTTTTTTTTTTATTGTTATTTTTATTTTTATTTTGTTTTATTTTTCATTCCCAATTTTTTTCTCTCTCTCTCTCTCTCTCTCTCTCTCTTTTTATCGACGCGACGCGACGCGACACAACACAACACGACTTTTGACAAAAATAAAACAAAATATATCGTTGGTTCGTATCGTTTTTTCTAAGGATTGCAGTTTTGTTAATCGATGCGAAAGAAAAACAATGGGTTTATTAATATTTTGTATTATTCACGACAACCCTGATGCAACAACCTAGGACAATGATAAGCGTAATTTGAAGTAACGGAAAGAACAAGCAGAAGAAGAAGAAGACAAACAAACAAAATAATAATAATTGTAAAATATTTGTTTCATGCGTTGTCAATTTGAACTACCAACCATTAATAATTGTACCGAAACAAATAAGAGGAATAGTTTTTGAAAATAAAATGAGAAAACATACGTCATCTTGAGAGAGAGAGAGAGAGAGAGAGAGAGAGAGAGAAAAATAAATCCACGTATCATAAATATACACGTAAATTCCACGTATGAAGAATAAGAGGATAGAAAGGGTTGGGGGATAGGGGGGGTAGGGGTAGGGTAGGGGTTCGTTGGTGTTGTTTTCAGTCAGAGTTAGCTTACGCGTTGATATTTCACATAAACGTAGAATAGGACAGAACGCTGCAAGCGGAAACAGCAGAAACAACGTTGGTAATGGTAGTGGTGGTGGTGTATCGTACGGTACAGCGAAATGTACCTTTCTCTCTCTCTCTCTCACATATATACACATTCTGTTTCTCATACTGTCTCACTCTGTCTCTATTGCTTTCCCACCACATTTACTAGGTGGTGGGCGAGGCACCTGCGACCTCTTTTGCTGACCTATATTCCGATGCACACCGCCCGTATTCCCGGCCCCGTACGAGCACCGCGATTGCTAACAAGAAAATTCAATCGTCCTACGGCCCGGCCCTTTTTCTTATTTCGTACGTGAACTACGAGAATTATAGACGTGTGTTCCTTTACTAAGATAAGATTAAAACATTTACTTATCTATCAGTTCACTAATGTTCGTTAACTTTCCAACACGTGTTTTAATTACTACCATTGAAGATGTTAATCAATTGATTTCTTTTTTTTTTTTTTTTTTGTTACCAACATACCTTTCCCATAGAACATTTTTATTATAAATAGAAAAAAGTAAAAAAAAAAAAGATTGAAACATTTCGCAGCATACAACGTTGATTATGTTGAACTACGTTGACTTTAACAAATGAAATAAATAAAAATTAAAAATAAAACATTATTTGGAAAATTTTCTAAACAATTATCAAACTATAATTTATTCTATAATAACTATTATTTTTTAATACATACAGTACACACGTTGTTTGTCCGCAATGAACTCCTAAACTATTGAACAGATTTAAATCAAATTTTACACACTGTGTGCAGTTTCATCCAACTTGAAAGATAGGATAGTTTATATTTCAATTTATAATCGCAATATTATTTATTTATTAACAAATTTGTTGACTTAAAGACGTGTGTATCGAACTGATTGTGAGTCACAGCATGGTGGGGCACCCCTATATATATATATATATATATATATATATATATATATAAGAGACACATACACATATGTGAACATATAGCGAATATAATATATTATTATAATTTATTAAATAAATATTATTCATTGATAACTTATGCGATTCTTGATGGTTCGCTAGTGCACCAAATGCATTCATTAATTATTCGTATAAACGCTAGACGCATAAATTTCTAGTTGCGTGCCAAGCTTTGTTATTTAGTAGCGCGTAATCTGTTTGACAAACGTGGTCAGATTTGACGTAAACGTGGACTCTGTGTGATACGTGCGATAATTCGCCATCTCTTTCACACACACACACTCACACACACATATTTCCATATATACATAAAATAACCTATATATATATATATATATACTGATCCTTTCAACGTCATACTATAAAGTCGGCAATAGCTCGTTCGATATTAATTTGGTTAACGTAGTCGTTTCGACGATAAACTCGTAGACGATATTATAGCAAGCAGCAACACAATCTTTATGTTTCTCGTGGTTATTTCACATAGAACAAATTTTCATTGTGTACCATTTTATATTTTTTCTTTTTCTTTTTTTTTTTTTTTACGATCATTCTACCAACCAAGTTCGATTATTCTTTCCAAATCTGTAATTGACATTTTGTATTTTTCCATTCTATCCAAGAATATATTTCTTACGTTTTATTATACTGTACTTATACTAGAAGGGGTATAAGAAAATGAAGAATATTATCTTTTATCAAGAACTCATTTGTATGTCTCTGTATCTGTGTGTGTGTGTGTGTGTGTGTGTGTTTCTTGGACGGATAAAAAAGAGAAAAAAAAAAAAAAACGTAGACGTGCGTCAGAGAACTAAACGAAAACTGGCAAGCGTATATTCCTTCTAACGAGGATTTTATCAAGAACAATAGAAACTCGAGCGAGTAATGATACAAACGAGAAGATTTCAAAAGGGTTGGTTGGTTGGTTGGTTTTGCTTGAGTTTTCAAATGAGCTGTCAGGATTCAGGTGATGTATAATATACGTGTGTCTTGGATAAATATTCTACTGACATGAGGAAAGAAAAAGAAAAAGGGGGTTAAGTGATAATAAAATAAACATTAAAAACAACGTAGTTTTGTCAACCAAATTTTTCTTAGAAAGATAATCATTCATTTCAATACGAGTATTTTCTTTTCTTTTGGATTGTATCGAAAAAAAAAAAGAAAAAACGAAAAAAAATGTGTTAAATTAAAAAGAAAAACATTGATGCTTATCAATCGTTGAGACTGTCAAGTGTTTCTTGTCGTAGAGAAAGGTCGTATCGACAGGATAATTATTGGATTTCATGAGTTTGATGGTTACGACACCCAACAGTTTCGTAATCTTCCCTAAGCTGTTTGTCTTTTGTAATAACGTTAGCAACAAGGTCGATCTTTATGACGTACGATAGTCATCGTAATCGATATATATATATAAATATTAGAAAATTCTAATTTGTCAATGATAAATATCTAAAACACTCTAAAATATCATCTTCAAAGATTTTGATGTAACTCGTAGTAATGCATGGATAAAAAAAAAAGAAATATAGAAAAGTAAATAAAAACGAAAAAGAAGTTTAAAATATTCGATTATTGTTCTCGTTGTCCCTAATCATCGTCAATGTATCCAATATAGAAATATGCGAGCAATCCTGTTCGCGTAAGATAAATTTCGATAGGATGACCCGCATTGGTCGCATTGCAGTACATGATCTGTTCTCGAGTTAGAGGTAAACTGGGTGGGTAGTAGGTGCGATTCCGGAGAATGTACAACCTTCATGATGTAGAGTTTGCGAAACTCAAACTCTGGGACTCTGGCCAAGTGCGCTTTATCTCGTAGCGGAGTTTCCGTTCATCCTGGAAATAAATTAAGGAACCCCCGTCAGACATAGGAGTACATGTCAGCTTAAACGCCACCACCCTTGCCATTCTCTTCCTCTTATTTTCCTCTACTTTTACCTTCTCATCATCCTCCCTCATCTTCTTCTTCTTCGTCTTCTTCATCATCATCATCCAGGTTGTCGTTGACTCGTCATTTTCATCATAGTCGTTAACCTTTCAACGTTGATTACATTTTTAAATGACTATAACGAGGTCATACGTAGTTAACGTTAAAACTCACGTCACGTGAGTTACCTGATGTTCAAGATAGTATCATATTTTATCGAACGTATCTTATTACCTCTTTAAAAACCCTTTCGACAATTTTTTAAACAAACCACATTAAATATAACAGTCACGTTAATAGCTTCGATAAAATGATACTACAACGATGTCATTCGAATATTATTTCTATATGGAAATTTGAAATAATATCCTTTTGGTTTTCAAATTGAAATTGTATATTAATCCTGAACGAATAATATAATAATAATAATAATAATAATAATAATATCTTTTGAGAAGTTAATTGCAAATAAAGCTAATATTTTATTATATTTCTATCTTTGTTTCATTGCATTCATTGTCATCGTGGATTCAACGTTGATAAATCCTGACTTTTTCAAACACAAAAGTATCGTCTAACTACGTAGATAGAATGAACGTAATACTTTACGTATATATATATATATATATATAGAGAGTATATAGTGTTACATTTAAAGTCTCTCATAAATATGTATCCCTTTGAAATGTAAAAAAGGCACTTAGAAAAGAGTCAAACGAATGGCGTTAGCTTGTAAAAAAGAAAGGAAGGTCTAACCATTGAGTACGATAGCTAGCTATACTAGCTTACGAGCTTTTATACTAAACTGCCTATATGTGTGTACAGTAGCAAATATTTACCCATCGCACAGAGATACTTCGACAAAGTTCGATGGATAACAAATATTGAGCTGAACGTTTCCACACGAGAAAAACACAAGAGAAAGAAAGATAAAGAGAGAAAGAGAGAGAGAGAGTGATTAAATGAATAGTATAATAAATATGAAAAAAAAAGAAGAAACACGAATGGTTTGAATTAACCCTTAACTTCAAATATATTTATAGGGTGTTTATATCAATAAAAATTCATTACCACAAATACCACAAATACCAAATCCTGCCAAGTGTTCTCGTCCCAGAACTTGCAGTTTTACGAACAATTTTATTTCTCTCAAATCCCTACATTTCATTTCACGATGCGTTAATTTGTAGTTTGCAAGTTGATAACCACAATTACAAAAAAAAAAAAAGAAAAGGTTAAACTTTAAGAGTTAAATTTGATTTTATTTCCGTTACGTTATAACACCAATTTAGCTGATATTCCGTCAGATGATTTTCTAATTTTCAAAAGGTTGTCATTTGGTATCTTTTCGTCGAGAACGTTTTGTAGCTTGTTGTACATGTCATTTCAAGCGTATTCGGTTTCGTATGCAAAAGCGTATCGAGTGTACCGAGGAGAGTTGCACGCTCCACGAGATGGCGGATACAATTGAGCTTTCACAAAAGCACGAGTCCCCCACCACTAACGACGACGACGACGACAACGACGACGACAACGACGACGACAACGACGACGACGACAACGACGACGACGACAACGACAAGTCTACCCTTTAAACGTGCATATACATCTACACTTTACACCTACGCTTACATACACAAATATATAACCTTACCTTTTATTTTCATTATTTCAAAGAGAACCTTAGTAACGAAGCTAATAATCTTGTTCCGAGTTTTCTTGTTCAACGTTCACATGTACGAGTTACTTTTCGATATAAACTCCCAACCATCCAACGATTATCTTTTGTTGTGCATTTCAAATGTGACACATTCGTTTATCAAATAAAAACGAATGTATTCTAAAGTGTTGATCTGTTGTATCAAAAAAAGGTGTTGTTACAATTTCAATCTAATTTAAGTGAAATTTGTATAGAATATTGTTAATACAAATTGTGTGTATACAAAAAAAAAAAAAAATAAAAAAAAATATGTTACAGTGGATCGGCGAGTCATCAATTATCGGCGACCGCTTTATTGGGTAGCCCTGATGGTTCGAGACATCCTCTCGATGTTTGCGAATTCGCGGAAGAGGATTATCGTCATCAAAATGGTAGTGGGAATGGTCATTATCAACATAACAGGCCGGGTACTGGTTTATGGGAGTGTCTTGTAGGATGCAGGTGGCGATTGGATCAACAATTAGCTCGTCGAAGGGTGAGTACTATTACTCAATTCACATATACATATATATCTCCATTTTCAAAATTAATCACTAAATAATCAAAAAGTTCAATTCTTCAATCTGAAAAATAATCTCATTCTAAAATTTGCAATTTGATAAATTCAAGAGAGAGAGAGAAACTCAAGTGCATGACTTTCCCTTTTGGTGAATCGTCACGCTTCTTCGCTTTCGTTATACGAGCCCTTAGTAGTACACTTATCTCGTTGAATGTGTTTGCCACGACTTTATCGGTCACTATCAAGTTCACAACCGTGGCACGAATCGGAATTAGAGTCACGCTATCCTTTCATAAGCGTTCAAATAGAAACGATTCATGACACAACGGTACAATACCTGTAAATACAACACACACACACACACACACACATATACACTCTTGTATCTAAGTATTTATTATATCAACTTCCTCGGATTTATCGGTTCCTTTTATTTTCCTCACAAACAACCGACCATTTCTCAACGTTTCCTTTTTTCAAACCGATAAATACGATTTTTCTACACCGATATGGAATTGATTTTCGTTTAAGTTATCATCCGACATCTTCACTATGTCGTTTACAGTGAACAGGAAAAATCTTAGAAACATTTTTACACGCCCTCTGTATAGAATATATGTATATATATATGTGTGTATGTGTTATTATGGAATATAGTAACGTGTAAAACATACGGTTTATCTCAGGAAAAAGAATTTGTTCTATCTCTTTTCATTTAAACGTACACACATACACACACACGTGTATAGAAAAATTGCTAGTGCACATGTTATGTCGCATTTAGTGGTGTCATTTAAAACCTCAGTGGATAACAAGTTTGAAGCGAAAGCATTTTGAAAGAGTGCACTTGGGTACCTCCTATGCTTTCAAGGATGATAAAATTGTAGTTGAAAATTTTCCCTCCTACCTTTTTACTCTTACAAATACACACACACACATACACGCACACATTATATATATACGTGATAAAATAGTAAGAAAACTCGATAAATTTTATGCAAACTCATTTTCATGAATTCATAATTTGGTGATGTATTTCCAAACTAACAACTTGTTGATAACATTTTTAATGAGATATCAATTGAATGAACATTAAATTTCAATTGATTATCAATTAAAATCAATCAATCTATAAAATACAACTTTCTTTTCCTCTAGTAATAGTCTTTAGATTATTAAAGGAAAATGCTAATAGGTGATATGACACACGCGTGTTTTCCCCATGTACATTAAATGTCAAGTGAACTTACGTCGGTGTAACTCGTCTCTCGTCAATTTAAACGTTTCTACCCATAAACGTTCTATTTATATTTCATCAGATCGCTCAATCCACCAGGGACAAAGTTCAGGGTCGAATCGATAAGCATTTTCTCTCGTTTCTCAGCCCTTATCCAAAGTGTCGTTAAACAAATACATAGAAGCAAAGGAAAGCGTTCGCAGTCACGCGTGTATCAACTTGCCGCCCCTGAAACTTCTCGTGCGTGATAATGAACAATAGACTTCATGTATTCTCAACATTATCTTATTCCCATCTATACATGTATTATAATCTAACCTTTGTCGGTCCTTCATTATCCTACCAAGGTCCTTCAAACGTTCATTTTAATTACATTGAAAATTGTGTTCGATTATCTTCTTCTTAATATATATAAATTATGTGTGACGTTGTTTGTCCGCATTGGACTCCTAAACTACTGAACCGATTTTAATCAAATTTTACATACTGTATGCAATTTTATTCAACTTGAAAGATAGGATAGTTTATATCTCAATTTATAATCCCAATTGACTTAAAGACGTGTGTATCGGACTGATTGTGAGCCACAGCAATGCGTGACGGGGCACCCCTAATTACAGATAAAACAACAATGTTGAAAATTGCATCGAATTGATAAAACTATCATTTTTACTGCTCACTTTAATTTTAATAATAAATATTTTGTGTACTCGTTGTTTACAGGTAGAGCAAGGATTGAAATTGTATCGTGCACACAAACAACAAGCAGCCGTAAGAAAATGGAGAGGTGCATTGAAAAGTATTCGTCAACGGGAGGACAAATTTGCCCTTTTGGGTTACCTGTATCAAGCCTATATGGATTGGGGAAAGTACAGGTAATATTATTAGAAAGTTTTCTACTTCTTTGGTAAATAAAATGGAAGATAATTTTGCATTAATCTATCTAGTAGAGGTAGCTTTATCTCGATACAAAGTAGCCTAGGCTACTAAATGGAAAGATGAATCAAGGGAAGGCTCCGTAATAATTCATTTGCATAGTATAATTAATACGGCGTATACTTATTAAGTCTATACACTTTCTAAGTAATCATTTAATATTCAGTGAAAAAGGTTATATCAAGTAGCGCATCCTACCCCCTGTAACATTTCCCACTTCGATACCGTAACAGACTTTAAATATCCAATTTAAATAATTCAACGATACATTTAACAAACAATTCATTAAAAAAAAAAAAAAACAACTTCCATTTAATATTTGTTTTAAAGTAGATCGAGATTCTTTTCTTGTTAAAAATAAAAAAAAAAGAAACCCCCGACAACTTAGAAATTCAAAGAAATCTGTCAACACCAAAACTTGTTTACCGAACTAACTTCGACAAACAACCGAACAACTGTTCGTTCCAATAACCAAAAAAAAAACAACAAAAAATATAGGTCAGTATGCCACAACCTGTCTCATCGATGGATTCCCTTTAGTAATATTACAACTCGATACAAAAAGAGAAGTAAAAATTTTCAATTAAAATTCTTCGTATATGGAATAAAAATGTGTTGGGGAGTACCTACGTCCGAGTGTATTTTTCTTTCTTTCAAGTAGAATAAGTCAACGTATAATCGAACTTAGTAGTAGTTGTTACCGTTTCCAATCGGTTAGATCGAATCGAACGGGGGGAGGATGTTCGGAAGGGAATCAGATGGTATTCGAATCACGTGCTGCTATTACTTACATGCATATGTATAATACAGAGAATCCGTACATGTTGAAGGGAAATCAGAGCACACATAGAACCCACGCATCTCTAGGAACATGCGGAAAATCTCGCACGATAAGACACGTTGGACTACTCCTAGAACTATAGACATCGAAAACCACAGATACCTATTGGAAAATACCCTCGAGCATTGTACATACTCAATACGAGATAGAAGAGAAAGAGAATAAGAGAGAAAAAGACCTAGTACTACACATTACTAACATCACAAGAATACACATACACATATGTATACACTAACACATAACCAACGAGATACAACTCTGACGACGAACAGGAATCTTCTGTTCATCCTTAATCAAAAAAAAAAAACAAAAAAAAGAAAGAAGAAAATATTCTCTTCTAACTTATCTCATTATGATTAAAACAAATAACCTGATAGAAAAGGTAAAAAAAAAACACACACACACACACACACACCTGAATAAAAGTAATTGATTTGATACAAGAGGAATGTTTTCTCTCTCAATGCTGCTACTTCTAACTCAACCATTTTTCTGTGCTTTCTTTTTCTTTCTTTTTTCTTTTTTTTTTTAACAGCTCGTACGAGCTTTTGCCCAACCAACCAACCAACTCACCTTTTTTTGGTCTCTTTTTCTTGCTCGTTCTCTCTTTCTAGTTTATCGTTAAAAATAGTAAAAGAGAGAAAGAGAGAAAAAGAGAAAGTAGAAAGGAAAAGAAGTTAATAAAGAGATTGTCGGTAAGAGATAGCATTTATTTCACGAGCCGACAGAGAAAATCCGGCTGGCAAGAGCCATGCTAGGAGTATCCTTGACACAATAACGTCCTTTTCCAATCCTCCTCATTTCCACCCCTTTTTCTACTATCTCTCTCTCTCTCTCTCTCTCTCTCTCTCTCTCTCTCTCTCTCTCTCTCTTTCTTTTTCTTTCAATGTAGATATATATATATATATATATACTCATATCTATTCATAAATGCGGACTGCAAAGTTTACGCGACCTGTTACGGAATCCGCATTTGTCCTCACTTTTCATTCCTTCTTTTTATTTGTTCCTTTTTCTTTGACATTCTTGTCATTAGATTGTGAAGAAGGATCTACTATTACTACTACTACTACTACTACTACTATTATTAAACTTTTACTAACGTTACTATCACACCTGCTATCGGTTAAATTGCACGACGACGAAGTGCGAGGATAAATTTAGAATCATTCGAGTGAATTTATTCAATAATCGTGCTCAACGTTCTATATACGAATTTAGTTCTGGAATATTGAAATTTCTACATTGACGATAATATAAATTAATTTAAAGGTGTACGATTATATATAAAAGGATCTTCGCGTTGATTCGTACTACTTAAATGTGTCTGATCATTTTATAATCTTACTACTTAAAAGTGTCTGACCGTTTAACGACTTTAGATTTCTTTTACTACTTAGAAGTGTCTGACCATAAGAAACTTCGATTCGTATCACTTAAATCTCGAAGTACTTTCAAAAAATGTTTTTATTTTAACGACAGTTTTTTTATTATTTAATTTTACAAATAAATTGAACAATATTATTCTTATATATCTCTTTGTACTTTTGATTTGATTGTTTTGTCTTGATTTGTTTTTTTCTTTTTGTTTTTTTTCTTTTCAGAGACAGCATCGACTTTGGTCACAGACAACTATGCATCTCCGAAGAATTGGATTCACCTAACATGCGAGCAGAAGCTTATTTGAACTTGGCCAGAGCCCATGAGAGATTAGGTGCATTGGACAGAGCTTTGGAATACGCTAGACACAGGTCGAATATTTTAGAACTTGTTTGTTTTTTTTCTTTTACAAACATTCAATTTGTTGAATATACGTAGGTTGAAACATAAATAGTGGCAACTATTTATTCACAACCGATACAAAAGAGTTACATAGTTGTACCTGTTACTTTGGCACTATTTAAGTTCTAACCTACGTATAAATAGTTTCATGAAAATCAATGATGAAAGTTATATATCAATGTCTTATCAAATGAAACAACAAGAACAATTTTCCGTACCTTCTGATAGATGTCATAAAACACACCTTTACGACGGGATACTCTCGATGAAACGAGAACTCATATATTTTCTCAATATCTTTTTCTCTATCTCTTTCTCTTTTTTTTTTATCTTTTTCTCTAACTCTATCTATCTATCTGTCTATCTTTCTACCTTTATCTCTGACAGTGTGTCACTCTTTCTGATTTGAAATATTGGATAAATCGGTTCGAATTGTTGAATGTTTAATACGGTTTTCGTTTTAAAACGAGAATATCCCATAGAAATGCTGCAATCGATGCAAAAGCTAATAGTTGTGACTCTACGTCCTCTCGCAGCTTGTATAACGAGTGCGATCAGTGTGCCACTGCTGGATTAGTTCACTTAACCGTAGGCAGAGTCCACTTAGAACTAGCAGGATTCACTAAAGCCTTGGAGGCCTTTCAAAGAGCTCACAAAATCGCCCACTCCATTCAAGATCCTTCCTTAGAGTTACAGGTAATTAGACATTCACTCTCTCTCTTCTCTCTTCTCTCTCTCACTCTCTTTCTTTTTCATTTTCTTTACTTAACTATCTAATTTCTTTTTCCATTAATCATCTTTTTTCTTTATCTCCACCATTTCCCTATCTTTCGTTTATTTTTTATTGTTAACTACTTTATCGTAACATATAAATCGTCTTATTCATTCTCATTTGTTTTTTTTTCTTCTTTATAGAACATATCTGGCATTACTGACGACTTTTATAAATACAGGGTGATCTGTATAAACCGATAGTATCAAAAAATATGAAATCATTTGATATAAAAATGAAATAAACTAATACATCAAAGTTGTGGAATTTTGATGAAAAATATACATTTGATATTATGTTTTACATTAGAATAACCAATGTGTTTTGCAAAACACGTACTGTAGAATTACAGAACACCCTGTATAGAATGTTCTTCCCTTTGAACGAAACTTCCATTTGATACTTGCCTTTTAACGAGCTCTTTTTTTTTAGATTTCTATCAAACTTGAAGATATTTGTCGTATATTAAAATATAAAATTGGCATATGTGTATTAAAATCTATGTATTATATCATTCTGCCGATTCTATTCGATTTAGAAATTTATAAAACGTATTTATAAAAATGTAAACGCGTGAGCACACATAATTTTGTTTGATGAACAACGAGAGAAAAACAAATCGGTTTTTTTTTGTTCGTTTTTATCGTTCACAGGTATACGTCGGATTGTCGGAACTGTTCTGCAGATTACAGGATACAGAAAAAAGTGCAAGATACGCTGCAAGAGCATACGATCTCTCGCGAAGTTTACAACTTGGCGATTTGAATTCGCGACATCACAGAGCTGCCTTGTTACAAATGGCAGCAGCATTGAGGAAAAAGGGTGAATTGGGTGACGCTCATGACTATTGTTCGGTAAAGTATTTTTTTTTTTTTTTTCTTATAATTATTCCTCTTTATTCGTTTCTAACTTGTTTAAAAATAAAAATAATATGCGCCTGTAAGTATGCAACCCTCCAGACACACTTTGAAAATGTTGCCTACGAGCGCCATCTGTGGGGACGAGATTTTTTTTCAGCCCAAACTATTCATACACGTATGTATTACGGATTGCCTATCTTTCGGGCAGAACAAAAATTCCATCCCAACCACATGGCGCTCGCAAGTAACATTTTCAAAGTTTGTCTGGAGGGTTGCATTCATACAGGCGCAATGTTTTTATAAATATTAAATTATAAAGAAGTTTTCACTTCAAAAAATTACAAAAAATAATGTTATCGAACCCTGAATATTTTTTAATAAATTTTGTCAACACGTTTGTTTAGGAAGCAACACGACTGTCGCTGGTTTCAGGCGACCAAGCTAGCTACGCTAGAAGTATACGAATAATGGGTGACATTTATCGAAAGAAATCTCATATAAATGTGAGTTCAAGCTATAGTACATCGTTTCACCTTTCTATTTCACGTATTGCTATTATTATTATTATTATTATCACTATTTTATATAATACGGCTCTTGCTATCGCCCCGTTCGTAAGCTTTGCATGTTTCCTTCCTATGCTTTCCTATATGTGTGCGTTTGTAGTATACGTGTTCGTTTCTATATATATGAAAAATTCTTTTGGAAACTTTCAATACAGGGATTTGGCATTATCCTTTTAACAACGACAAATCTTTTCTTATTATTATACCATAACTCGTAAAAGTATCATTTTTATCGATTTTTATTATCGAATGGTATCCATTGACAATGAAAGTTTTCCAAATTGTCGAATTTATTATATAATAATTAACGATAAATTATTTTTGATTCCATTTTATTTGGTTCGTTTTTATGTTTTTTTTTCTTTCTTTTTCTTTTTCTTTTTTTTTTTTTGTCACGAATCTCTAACAAACGCATCAGTGCAGGCAGCATGTCGCATAGTGCATATCGGCTTTCGCAGCTTTGGCACCGAAACGGGCTCAGTTTTGGACGAACGCCGGCTCTCCTATTCTGCTAATTACTACGAGAGAAAAAAAAAAGAAGTAAAAAAGAAAAAAAGGGAGATCACCGAGCGTGAATTTCAGAATTAAGAAGATTGTAGATTTCGTTCGTGCTAATCATACGTGTAACTTTCCAATGAATACTAATTATACTACTTAAAGATTTTTTGCTTAAAATATTCCATCATTTACAATCGCATTCAAGTTAACGTAGAATATTTGTGAACAATTTAATAATCGTATATCGCAATAAATAAAAATAAAAATAATAAATAAAATACAATTACAATTAGTTCCTGATGAAAATGGAAGGAAGTTGATTAAAAAAACAACTATAAAACAACCATAAAACGAGCTCGTTTAATGTCGCGCGTGAACCTCGACGAATTGGACTCTGTCTTTCAGTTGGCGATCGCCGAAACCGCACATACAATTAGCCTTTAGTTGACACATTGCGTGCATTGCACCGGAAGTAGAACGATAACACCGGTGAGATGAAGATGGACGTATTGCAGAAGGCGTTTCGCCAGTACGAAAGTGCCATGGGATCTGCCGCAGCTACCGGTGATCGGCTTTGCCAAATGGAAGCGATGGATGGGGTTGCTAGATGTTTCGAGGCTCTCAGGCTGCAACACGAGATATGCAACTGTCGACCCCTTGAATTCAATACTCGGCTTCTCGAAGTAGCTGGATCCGTCGGTGCTAAGGTATAAACGATATTGGATCCTATCTCTCTCTCTCTCTCTCTCTTTCTCTCTTCTTCTTCTTTCCTTTCCACTTTTACATTCCAATTTCATTTTGAGCGTGAAATGATCTTTCTCGAATCGTATGACCTTCTTCTCCATTTTCCTTCACCTTCTTCTTCACTTCCTCGTACGATTTAGCTAAACTTCTATTAGTTGTGACAAGGTTCTACTTTCGATATAAACAGGTATCATTTGAATACACACAAAAATAAAAATCAAAGTAACGTCATTTAATACCGGTAGCTTCCCCCCCTCCACCACCCTTTTCTGACGTTATTTGCAGCTCTTAGTGAGGACCGTAAGATCGAGACTCTCGCGGATTTATGGTTCCTTGGGGGACGAAGAACAAAAAGGACATCACGAGAGACTAGCCGCTGCTATGGAGGAAGATTTAGAATTACGTTGCGGTGGTTGCAACGAACCGTACGGCTTGGAAGCAGATTCCCTTGAGGCATTACCTTGTTCTCACATATTACACGCAAGGTAAAGAGTTTACGTCTTTTCTTAAGATCCCTGCTCGGTCTTATATCAACTTACTTATCGCAAAATAAATATTTTCTCTTGTAATATTTATCTATTACATATTTTATAAAGAAAAAAAAACAAAAAAAAAACAAAAACATGTATGCACATCATACAAGTTAAAAGTGAAACCTTCAAAGAAAGCAAATTTCGAGAGAAAAGTATCTCACAAGTAGGATAATATATTAGAAAATATTATTTTTTACTATTTTTGTTATTTATTTATATTAATAATTATAAAAATATTGCGCCTGTATTTATGCAACCCTCCAGACACACATTGAAAATGTTGCTTGCAAGCACCATCTGTTGGGACGGAATTTTTGTTCTGCCCGAAAGATCGGCAACCCGTAATACAAGCGTGTATGAACAGTTTGGGTTTCAAAAAAATTTCGTCTCAACAGATGGCACTCGCAAGCAACATTTTCAAAGTGTGTCTGGAGGGTTGCATACCAACAGGCGTACGATTTTTATAAATAATGATAAAAATTTAATTGTAATTTTATAATTAATACTATTTGTAGTATGCAAAGAAGTTTTCACTTTAAAAATAAAATACTTTATATATAAGATTACTTTTACAATGATAAATTTGTTCATTTTGTTTCTTCTTCTTCTTCTTCTTCTTCTTGTTTTATGTTTTTGGTTTTAGGTGCGCGTACGACATACTCAAAAGACGCGACAAAAAAAAGAAACGTCTCTGTCCGGATTGTCACAAATCTGTCAGCTCACGACTGTACCTGCATTGCGAAGATCCACACGGCATGACTACCTTAAATCATAGTTCCTTGAGTCTGGCATCATTGAGGGCCAGCAGCCTAGCGACATTGGAGGATTGTCACGCTACGAGTAGCGTCTAAAGAAAAATAGAAAAATAATTTGACGCAATTGTATTCGTTTCGATCATGCTAATACTCATATATATAGATACGTGGGTACCACGATCTTGCGACAATTAATCGTAAACGAACTAAGAAAACGAAATAAAATGAAGAACAAACTAACAAACTAACAAATAAAAAAAATAAAAAAAAAAATAGGAAAAATAAAAAAAAAAAAAAATAAAAACATCCTCGAAAGTTCGAGAGAGGCTCATGAAAACGAGAACGGCGTAGGGAAAGGGGAAAAAAAAAGTAGTATTGATGAATTGGCAATAAAAAGAACGATACGAATATCGATTGCTATTGTGAATATTATTCTCTTCTTCGTCTTCTTCTTCTTCCTTGATTATTATTATCGATAGCTGATGTACAAAATAAAATTCAATCCGTGGTAAAGAATGTTGTTTCGTGTTTTAAGTATATCAATTTTTGTAATACAATCAGCGGCGCGTTATCCTATGAGAACAAAAAAGAAATACGATTGTTTCAAGGCCAGCAAAAGTTATAAAATCATTTTTATAGTAAAAGAAAATATTAAGGAAAATTAAATTACACATTCCCATATAAGGGAACCATAGATTACCAGATGTCGACAAAATTCTTAGTTAACTTTATGCATGGGTTGTTAAAGTTTATCAATGATGAAACACCATTAACGCACCGTTGAATACAAAAATACAATACATTAATTTCGTAGCTGCGTATTATTACGTATTATACTTGCATATGTGTATGTATTCGTTATGTGTATGTGTAACTTCCTAATCTATATTTCTAACGTACCATTTTTCCATTATTATCCTTAATTTTGTTTTTGTCTTTTTTATTTCCCATGTGTTTCATTTGTAATTTAGAATTGTAAGAATAATTCGTTGGTTAAAAAAAAAAAACAAACACAGGAAAAAATATTCACTCGTGTAAATGTTATTGACGTTGATGATAAGATGTTGAGGAAGATAACGCCAATAATTCTCGTTGAGAGTCCTTCCAAAATCGAAAGACTATTATTTTTAACCCGTCCCTACATACATTCCGAAGAATGAAATTCTACGAGACTAGATTTTTAATAGAAATACCAAGCGGATTGCATACGCACTAAAAAAAAAAAAAAAAAAAAAAATAACTTAATATACATATATTTATATTTATATACATTATATATACAGAGGTGTCTTGTAACTGGACACCCTGTATAGAAATTAGAAATATATTATATATGTATATTACGTATATGTTATATATATATATGTATGCACATTATTTCTATACGTATATATATATAATATTTAAATAAATAAATAAACAAAAAAGAACAAACAAAAATTGTTGAATCTTATAAAGAAATGCTATATAAACTTTAATTAACACAAACTGTTGATTATAAATCTTGGATTAGTGACGTGTGGGCAATGATTAAATAACATTTATGCGAATCTATCCGTATTGATCTTAAAAAAAGGAAAAAAAATTACAAAAAAAAAAAACACAAAAAAAAAAAAGAAAGAAATAATATGGTGATCGTTAGACCTCGACAAATGGAAGATTAAATATTACGATTTATCGTTTGACAATCTTCTTCGTGAATTAAAACAAGAATTAAAAGTTTAACGTTAAACTGTATGTGCACGTCGTATATATATATTAAAAAAAAAAAAACAAACAAACAAACAACAAATTGATTTTAAAATAAAATTATCCAATTAATCGCAAAGTGTCATTTATAACTTATACAATTTAAACAAATAATAATTTATTATTTCATTTATACATTAATTTATTTTTTTAACTTTCCATTAGGTTGCATTGATTTGAGGATATATTTTTTTTTCGTGTGGTTTGTTATCCCGGGCGCTCAAAATCCTTGGATCATTGTGCCCGGGGCCCCTTGCAGGGAACACCTATCATTGTGGTGGGTTCCGCGGGCAACCCCGTCCTCCGTGCGAAGCTTAGCAGTCCAGTCCCCCCCGAGCCCACCACGTCGAATAATGGCGATGGTCCCAAAGACATGATTTCTGACGCCCG